GAATGATGGTAAAGATCCTATAACGCCCTTTGACATGTCCCGGGTCAACGACGTCGAGAACCTACTCTTCCGCTGCACCACCTGCCACAGAGGCTTCCACTTTGAACACTTATCCGAAATAACGCACATGACTTGGCAGTGTGAGAGTTGTGCATCAGTACCTGGAGAGGTTGGCGCGATAGTCGCGTGGCGCCCTGTGGTCCACAAGTCAGATGCCGCGAAGGGAACAGATAGGGAGTACCTTATCAAGTGGAAGAATAAATCCTACAACCATACCACCTGGATGCCGGGCAGCTGGGTTTGGGGCTTTGTGAATCACCACATGCGGCGTGCCTTTATGAGATCAGATAAAAGCCTCGAACCCTGTATTACCGCCGAGGAAGGGATTCCTGAGGACTTCTTGCTCGTGGACATTGTCTTTGATGTAAGATTCTCCGGCACCTCGCCTGACACAGGCCGCAAACGTACCTTCGAAGAAGACGTTGCACGTGTGGATGATGTGGTAGAAATGTACGTCAAATTCAAAGGTTTACCGTATGAGGAGGTCACCTGGGACACGCCTCCCGAGCGCAGCAGCAACCCTGAGAGGTGGGAGAGTTTCCGATCTGCATACGAAGACTGGGTCAAAAGGGAATATACTCACATACCCAACCAAGACAACCTCAGACGGCGTATTGCTCACGTCCGGAAGCAAAACTTCAGCTCCAATGTCGTCAAAAGTGGGCAGCCAGAGACAATGACAGGCGGACAGATCATGGATTATCAGAAGGACGGACTTGACTGGCTCTACTACATGTGGTACAAACAGCAAAACGCTATCTTGGCTGATGAGATGGGTCTCGGTAAGACCATTCAGGTCATCGGCCTAATCGCAACCCTTGTTCAATATCATAAATGCTGGCCTTTCCTGATCGTTGTGCCAAACTCGACGTGCCCGAATTGGCGGAAGGAGATCAAAACATGGGTTCCCTCACTGCGGGTAGTCACATACTATGGATCGGCATTCTCTCGGAAGTTAGCACAAGACTATGAAATGTTCGCTGATGACGATACAAGCCTTCGGTGCCACGTCGTCGTAGCTTCGTACGAGACCCTGGTCGACGATGCATCCCGAAGACTGCTATCGAAAGTACCTTGGGCTGGCCTCATCGTGGACGAGGGGCAACGGCTAAAGAACGACAAAAGTCAACTGTACGATGCATTGTCACGAATCAAATTTCCTTTCAAGATTCTTTTGACGGGCACTCCCCTCCAGAATAACATAAGAGAGCTTTTTAATTTGTTGCAATTCTGTGATCCGTCTAAGAGGGCAGATGACCTCGAAAACGAGTATGGGAATTTATCAAAGGAGAATATACTTGAACTACATAACATGATCCGTCCATTCTTCTTGCGACGGACAAAAGCCCAGGTTCTCAGTTTTCTCCCCCCAGTGGCACAGATTATCGTCCCTGTTTCGATGACTACGGTGCAGAAGAAACTGTACAAATCCATATTGGCTAAGAACCCTCAGCTTATCAAGGCAATCTTCCAGAGGAAAGAAGGCACCCGTGCCTTGAAACAAACTGAAAAGCATAATCTCAACAATATCTTGATGCAGCTGCGGAAATGCCTATGTCATCCGTTTGTTTACAGCAGGGCCATCGAAGAGAAAACGAGCAACGCTGCCGTTTCGCATCGACATTTGGTAGATGCAGCTGCCAAGTTCCAGCTGTTGGAACTAATGCTGCCAAAACTCAAGAACCGCGGCCACAGGGTTCTGATTTTTAGTCAATTCCTTGAGAATCTGGACATCATTGAAGATTTTCTGGAAGGTGTCGGCTTAATGTATCTTCGCCTCGATGGGAGAATGTCATCGCTCGAGAAACAAAAGACTATCGATGCATACAATGCCGAAGACTCACCGTACTTTGCATTCCTCCTATCAACTCGATCTGGTGGCGTTGGAATTAACCTAGCTACCGCTGATACAGTAATTATTATGGATCCCGATTTCAACCCACATCAGGATATGCAGGCATTGTCCCGTGCTCATCGCATAGGACAAAAGAACAAGGTCCTCGTCTTTCAGCTCATGACCCGGGCAAGTGCCGAAGAGAAGATCATGCAGATTGGCAAGAAGAAAATGGTTCTTGACCACGTCCTCATTGATCGCATGGTTTCGGAGGAAGACGATGGACGAGACCTGGAGACCATTCTGCGGCACGGTGCTCAGGCCTTGTTTGATGACGATGATTCTGGCGACGTCCGCTATGATTCGGAATCGGTTGACAAACTTCTTGACCGCAGTCAAGCCGAGCAAGCTAGCACACCCGATGACAGCAATCAGGGTAATCAGTTCAGTTTCGCTCGGGTTTGGGCGAACGATAACCAGAATCTCGAGGATCAACTGCAGAACGTGGAGGAAGAGCCTGCGCCAAGTGCAGATGTTTGGGAAAAGATCCTGCGGGAGCGAGAGCAGGCAGCTGCCGAGGAAGCCAGACGAAAGGCTGAAACCCTTGGTCGTGGGAAACGTAGACGGACTGCTGTGGATTATGCGAACGATGCTTTAATGGAGCTGTCGCCTAACAAAGACCGCCATGCTCGTGAGGAGATGGAAAGTGACAGGGAGTTCAGAGCGGACGATGCAATGGAATCAGAATCCGATTTTGCGCCCGAGCTGGATTCCGACGACATGGACCAGGTCGCTAAAACTTCCAAAGGTGAGAGCGCCCTTGCATCGGGTAAGGTCTTCTGGCAACTAACAGAAGCCACAGTGCGTGCTTTCCAACGCGTTACCCAGCAGGATCTACCTCCCCCGTTAGATGGCAATGTAGACCCCGTCCTCCATCCGGGGCCACCCTGTTTAGCGTGCAACCAGGTCCACGTAGTTGGACATTGCCGCCTGAGGATGGCCGGCGTCGAACACTGTCCTCTGTGCGGGCTTGCCCATTATGGGTATTCGCGTACATGTCCGCATTTGCGGTCAGATACTCAAGTTGCCAGAATGCTTGCCGCTCTGAAGCAAAGTACTGAGGACCGTGAACTTGTCCAGCTAGCTAAAAAGTACTTGAATGGGGTCCGTGGGGACCTTGCACAGCGTAAGAGGAAGCAAGCCAGTAAGGCTGCATCGAGTCTCACAAACCCTGGCATACCCACCACGGATTCGAATGCCAGTGCCGCTGTGACAACGAACTCTCCGATGATCGATCTTACCGCACAACATACCACACAGGCCACACATGAGGCACCTAGTGCCGTTGGCGCGACCAACTCCTCCATCATCGATCTCACCTCAAACGATGGCACACGGCAGTCGACATACCAGCAACCAGCATGGGCCCCCCCTCAGCCATTTCGGAATTCTTATGGATATTCGGGACATGAACCATAGATAGTATTAAGACGGCGAGGAGTTGGTGGTGCATGGATCAAAAGCATATACGGGGATTCTTCGGGGTTATTGGGCGTATGGGCTGCAATCTTGCATCGTTATGGGTGCATGTACATACATACATAGACATCATACCCAATCATATCATTGGCATGACTGGAAGTTTCCGGCATGAACCTGAGGCACTTTCCCTTTGAGGCTGTAAACCGAATTGGTCACATGTTTTTGTGGCCTTTCGGTTTCTGCCGCCGTCAATTTCCCTCCTTGCAGCTGTCATCGCATTCCTCACTGGACCCCTGGCCGATATACTTACACTTAAAGCAGACCAGATCCCCTCGTTCACCTGACGAATGGTTATATCCGGAGCCCCCGCTCAAAGCTTGTGGGATAGCTTAATTTCTTCTAGAAGATGCCAACATTTCTCGAGTCGCACAATGGCCTTGGTGAAAAAGGCCGCACCATCGCTGATAGGGCTGTAAGTGTAGAATATATCCGCATTGTGTCTCAAACGCTATCTCTATTTGACTAATCACAGGAAGCCGTTTACTGCTGATCTACTGGGCAGTTGGTGTCGCTAGGTCAGCAACACCAATGGCTGATATAGCCGTTTGTATCGCCACGTTTTATCGGCACTCAATGTCTCAAAGAATGGGAATATGCCACCAGCATGATTCAGACAGACGATGGGGGCTTCCCACAGTATGATGTCTCTCGGAAATACCATACAAAGTGGCCAAACCACGTACAATACAAACATGGGTGTTGGCAGCTTCCCGCCTTTGACAACCATCATAGGGGAACAAGGGGGTTCCACGGGATACAGGGAGATCATGGCAGAAAAGGAAAAAATATGATGACTGTCAAAGGGCTCCATTTCAAGGATGGGGCATTGTGTCCCCAACGAAACCGACAAGACAGGCCAGAACAGCGTGTGTGCCAGAGTGGGAGGGCTGCAGCCATCCGAGCCGGATGTTGTACTGACCAACATCATCGGACAAACACTGGCGGAATTGAGCCACAACGGGACCCAAGTCAGAGCCTGCTGTTAAAGCGCTTTGGGGGCTCTTTCACGTTACTCTCCTGCTGCCTTTCCACCCTCTTGGATGTCTGCTCCGCAATTTAGCGGAACCTTCCTTTCCCTAACTGTGGATGTTTACGGTGACTCCCGAATAATACCTTGTATCCTGCACCTGTCGCCATCCCTTCTATCTTACCTTTAATGGCATTGTCCGTATAAGCTTTCTTATCTTATATATTATGCATTCATCTATATTTAAATTCCTCTGCTTGAATTCGTTTTAATGATTCCAAATTTTCCGTGTCAGTACTGTTATCCAATCCCCACTGCCGGCTTCAGTGAATGTAGTGACATTTCTCTCGCACATACACCAAAGCCATTCACCACGCGCCTTGAAACGCGCACTCGCCTACCGTCATTCTTTTCTCTCCTCCTACCTCTTGATTCCCTTGGCTTCTTCTTGAACACTTCCATCTCCCTTCTCATCTCTTTCCTTCCGCAAGCCGCTTACCACTACACGTGAATCTAGGATCTATCATTCCCGACTCTTCATCTCTTTACGAGACATCATCCAAACATCTGGTTGCAGTTTTATGCTGCCAAGTCATAATGTCCTCCACGATTCATCCCCAGTACTTCTGTACTCGTCCTAATGGCACCTTCACTCCCCTTATCGCCGTGGATGAGCTCCCCTCGCATATCTCGATTCGTGGGGCTCCCCGTGTGCTAGCAGCCAGTGAAACCCAAGGAATGACGAGCCTTGGGATTGTACAGATGAGGCCCCAGTCTTATGTTGTTGAAGGAGTTGGCCCCGCTTCCACTCGAGAGACGTCCACGAGTTCGACCGGACACCGCACCCGTGACTCTGATTTACAGGCCGCGTTGATGAGAGTCCTTTCCGATGAGTGTCTTCCGACAAACGAGCGTCTGGCTATTACAACGCTGATACAGCATGGTCTTTCTCGCGGCATGTTTACGCCCAGTTCGTCCAGTAACGGTTGGTTGGTGCCTAATAGTGGTGGTAGTATTGCTGGCAATGTGGGTTCTAGACAAGTAAGTCCTGATATGTAGCATTACAAAGGTTTTGAAAAAGGAAAACGCGTGTGACTGACCCTCGACCAGGGACCTCACTACAATACCAAGAAAGAATACTGTTCGTACTGGATTCGCCATGGCGAGTGTGACTATTCACAACAAGGCTAGTATTTCAGTCGTTTGGTTGTGTAGTATGACCACTAATATGACGATAGGCTGCCTTTATAAACATGAGATGCCTGGCGACCCGGCGATGCTCGAGAAGCTTGGCCTCCGTGACATCCCCCGCTGGTATCGTGAGAAGTATGGCATTCCCAGCCTGATACCGAATGGACATGTTCATCCTCGTCACCAAATCGGTCATGCTCTGCCACTGACGGACAATGGGGATTTCGGAGCGGTCCACAACCCATCTCGCCTCGGGGCAAACATCATCTCGGACATCTCTGATTTTGAAAGGGACCCTCAGCATAAGACTCATTATGCAATTCAACACTCACCAGCTGCACTTCCTGGATCGTCGCGGCCTGTCTATGCCGCCGCAGGACCGTCCAGGGCTCAAATGCCCCAGAGACACGGAGCAAAAAATTCTTCAAAAATGGATCTTTTATCCTTTGACCCTCTTCCAGAGTACCCCAGCTACACATCCGTGGAATCTTCGCCCGGGAAGATGCGCGCGCTGGCCAACGCAAATGGCACCGCCGCCTTTGCGAGTGTCAACAGCGAGCGTGAGGACTTCGTCCGCAGTATACAATCTCTAATGCCGACTCCAATGTCCGGGAGCTCGGAGTACCTGCTGGCCGGTGGTTCTCCCTATAAGCCTCGTTCCAAGAAGGCACAAAAATCCCGCCGGTTGTATCAGCCTCGGCCTGCTATCCTGAAGCAGGAGTCCGAACCTGAAGCAAGCGAAGTAGATGCATTCAGCGGGGAGAGTAGAGGCTATGGTACTGCTCCGCCGAGCGTTGCATCTCCCATTTCCAAGGTTGACCACCCAAGCCCGAACATCCGGTCTGCCCTAGATAGCGCGTCCGAGCCGGCTACTCGCGGTGCCACCCCTTTAACCCAGACCGGCACTGCATCTTCGGACTCGAGTCCCGATCTTGTCCGCGATCGACACAAAGATAAAAAAGAACACAAAGCGACCTTCGGCGCTATCGGTACCAAGAGAGGGTTCGGTAAGTCGTGTGACGGGTCCTTCGAAGTTGATCTGTTAGGCCTGGGCACCAAGGACGATGATTAAAGCCCGGCCGTCCAACGAATTCCGCTGCTTGAGTAGTCCTGCACTGCTCGAGCCAATTTCAATTAAATATGAGACGTAACTATACAGGGTCTCGATCCTTCATGATATGATACACGACACGGCGAGTACTAGTCGAACTAAATATACTTACAAAGTTGATGAGTCCGGCGGGTGTGGATGGCTCAAGGATGCCAGGTCATTATATTATTGCCATCGGCATTTAGTTCTCTCTGGTTCTTATCTGTGCCCAGACCAGATGTCTCTCCTTTCGTTCATGATCTAGGTTGGAAAGGGAAGGAGTGGTCGTCAGGATACATACAACCGGCGCAAGGCGCGGCGGAATGTCAAAATTTCATTATCGACGTCCTGTGCTGAAGGGTTCTCGGTGGTGTGTTTTGTCTTCTGTCCTTTGATTCTTTTACATGTGCTAATTATGAGTTTCGATTTATGTTGTCTTCTCTTCTTTTCCGTGTGTTTTTACTACCTTTGCTTGCTCTGTTCCTCTAGTTTTCTTTTCCTTTGTTGAAACGGTTTGGTATGCTGGATATTGTAGCATATATCATGTCTATAGTACCAGGAACATATCAGAACCTCATAATGTATGGAATGTAAAGTCAACAGAGCCGTTGCGTATCATCCCCGATGCTATTAGGTCCAATCTAACAATATCAGGAATCATGCAGTTAAAGTAAGTAGAGGAAAGTGCTAGTTAACGATGAATGAGATATAATACATTGACATAAGATAAAAGTGTCTAATACAACCTTGCGAAATATGCGCCGCCCTGTTTTGTCTGAGCTTACACAGGTCAAAGAAAATACTACAGTATACCCTCGAAAACAGACACATCAGGTTACCATATGGACATACTCCCTCCGTTTCTCGTAAGTGAATAACGATCATGGTGGAAGTGAGGCGTGGTGTTTGTTTCCCTAGAATTCCCTCCAGAACTCATCACAGCTCAATGCTCAGTTCACCGAACCCTCTTCCTCTGAGCCTTTGCATTGACCTTCACCGCAACCTTCTCCCGCTCTTCCGTGGCCTTTGCGTTCAACGCAGGGTTCAAAGCCGGCAGGGTCCGCGCCGCCTGCAGAACGACCTTGTTGCCGTCCACCCGCTCCTGCTCCTGACGCTGTCTCTCAGCACGAGTGGCCTCCAGCTGCTTCTTGCGCTCGGGCGTCATAACCCAAGACTCGGGGAAGCGGTGCGTAACCTTGGGCTTGTGGTGACGCAGATCGAGAGGGACGTCGGCGAACGAGTCGCCCTCCTTCGCTTCCTTGATCAATGACTTGATGGTGTCACCAAGGTAACGCTTGTTTTGGGCGCGGAGCGGGAATTTCTCGCAGGACATGCGCACAATATCGGTTTGGGGGTTGTAGCGGACACCGACGAGTTTGAGGAAGGTCTGGCGTTGCGCTTCGGTGAGGTATTTGGGGGTCAGATCTTTGGAGGACAGCTCCACAACGACCTTGGGTTCGGCGGGGTGCTGCTCGCCCATGTATGTTGTGTAGCGGAAGCGGAGGATGTGAGATTCGGGGGGGAGGGTGAAGGGTTTGGCGAGCTCTATTGCGGGTTATCAGCAAAGGGATTGTGTCTGACATGAGGGGGAAACTATGTGGGGTCTGGGTGTAGGTGTGGCTGCATACCGCTCAGCAATGGCATATCCCAAGCGGCGATTCGAGCGTATTCTCTGATTTCACGATGCTGTTCGAGTTGTGCGTAGGCCATGCTCGTCATTTCGTCATCGTTGAAATCCTCATCGCCGTCCTCAACGAGAGCCAGATCATCTGGTTCATCTTCCGCCCAGAAGCCGTTAGATCTGACTCTCGGGGCCTCGAAACGCATATGTGTTTCTCTTTCGATCTGGAAGACTTCCTTGTCGAGCTCGGCGAACATGGCGGCACGGGCCTGGGGGTCGTTGTATTCGGAGACAAGAGCACGGTTCGCTTCGTCGAACGCCTTTCGCTCTTCCGGAGACATCAAGTCATATTGCTCCCGCTCCTCTTTCGAGAGGAAATCAGGCGAGTATTCGGGTGCCGGGGGCAGGTCCTGCGGACGAGGGCGCTTGGGCTCCTCAGGGACGGGCGGATCTTCTGAGACGAGGGAGATGGGCGTCGCGGAGAATTGGCGGACGGGGGTGAAGATAGGCCCTCTCCGGGCCAGGAAGAAGGCCGAGCGGCCCAGCGACCGAGCTACTGAGGCCATTGGGGGAGGGGAAAGTCTGGGGATATTGGAAATGAGAGGCGCAGTGGAGGAAGTTCGGCGGATGTTTTTCATTTCCTTCCATCGCCGCGTGCCACTAAACCGTTTCGGGAAGGCAGTGACTTTCACCGCCGAACAATTGGCTGGAACTACTTACCTCAACTGCAACTTCGTACTTGCCTTTGCGTCTTTCCGTGCCAACTTCATTTAGAGTCTGGCATGTTGGGTGCCAGTATATGAATGCTACAGCACTGACTATATTCCCTAGAGGCTGATATGATTGGCAAATTTGACCACGTTTGAGTCAGTCTTGTTCCGTGCGGGATATCGCCCGCCTACTAACTAACCATCATGCCGTCTCCTCTCCAACCAAATGCCACTACGAAGGTCTGCTTCATGACTGTGGGTGCTACAGCTTCTTTTCATCTTCTTCTACAGTCAATACTGGCAGACCAGTGTCTGCTGGCATTACAGAAACTAGGGTTTACCCACCTACTTGTGCAATATGGCAAGGACGGCCAGGCTCTTTGGGATGAGTTCCAGAACAGATGCCCTCCTGACAGTGAAAGCCGACATGGGCTTGAGATCGCCGGATTCGACTTTAACCAGGCTGGACTAGACGAAGAGATGGGCTTGACTCGAGCTGATCCGTCTGAGGGCCGAGTCGGGGGACTTATCATCAGCCACGCTGGTAATGCCCATGTCTACAGTATCTCCAATGCCTGATTGAGGTGGCTGACATGGTTTGGGTCCAGGATCGGGAAGTATTCTTGGAGCATTACGGCTTGGTGTGCCGCTTGTTGTTGTACCGAACCCAACCCTGAAGGATAATCACCAGGAAGAACTGGCACAGGAACTGCAGAAGCAGGGATATGTAGTCGCCAGCAACTACTGGTACGCTGCTCTTTCGGTCTCTAGGTTCGGGTGATATTAGACGAGCTCACTCCTTTTGTCAGGGAAATCTCGAGTGCACTCCCTCGTGCAGAAAAGCTGCGAGCTCAGATGCTGGCTTGGCCGCCTGTGTGTGGAGTAAGCCAGCGGCGCCAGCCAACGCTGGAGAGCGTGATGTCTGACGAACTGGGCTTCTTAGATTGAAGCCGCCTTTGGGTCTTTATCACTAGCACCGGTCGAATCCACTCTGCCGGGCGCATTGAAAGCGATACATCTGTAAGTTGTTTGGGATGACACCGCCATTATGCGGTACGATTATAATTATCATGACTATGGAAGTCAGCGGGTAGCTGGCCGTGAGCATTGAGCAATGAGGAGTCTTAAAACCAAACAGCCATGGGAGGTAGAACGGACGGTTTTACTTACGACTGAACTCATCAGTGTCTTGGACAATCCGCTGAATGGTAGCTTAACAACGTTTAAATATAGGTTATTGGGAATGTATCTGTAGGGGTAGCCAATCCGTTTGGGACGATTGAAGGAATCAAGCATATTTATGTCTTTATAAGTTGACCATATGGCGAGCAAAGCATGATGATTGTAATGCATTCTACCCTACTGTGATGGGTTGTAGATAGAGTTTATAGTTGGGATTTCCGAGAGTTTGGAGCGGTGCTGGTCTGTGCTTTCCATTCCTCTGACCCCAAAAACATACGCGCAGAACAACCCGCAGCTATCCTTCCCTCCGGCCTGGTTTACTCTACTTCGTGACCTCGCAGAAGAGCAATCGAGCTCAAGCACTCTACCGGGAGAAGTCCTGCGACATCGTTCGAGTTCCGCGTCCTCGCCCAGCAACCGACCAGGCCGCGGGGCCTCTCCGTGCCTTTGACGACAACAAAACACCCGCGCCCTTCGATCTCTCCTCTCTCTTCCCCGATCCCCCAATCCCCAACATTCTCCCCACGCAATGGCAGAAGCCACCCTCCACAACGCTCCGATCGTCATCGACAATGGCAGTGGGACCATCCGCGCCGGCTTTGCCGGTGAGGAGATCCCCTCCTGCTACTTCCCCTCGTTCGTGGGCCGGCCCAAACATCCGCGGGTGATGGCCGGCGGTCTCGAAGGCGACGTCTTTATCGGACAACGAGCTCAAGAGCTGCGCGGCTTGCTTAAGATTCGCTACCCTCTGGAACATGGAATCGTCACAGATTGGGATGATATGGAGAAAATCTGGCACTACGTGTACGAGAATGAGCTGAAAACGCTGCCGGAGGAACACCCCGTGCTCCTGACGGAGCCCCCGCTCAACCCACGCAAGAACCGCGACGCTGCCGCCCAAATCATGTTCGAGACCTTTAACGTTCCGGCGCTGTACACCTCGATTCAAGCTGTGCTGTCATTGTACGCGTCTGGTCGGACAACAGGTGTGGTTCTCGATTCAGGGGATGGTGTGTCCCATGCTGTACCGGTGTTTGAAGGTTTCGCAATCCCGAACAGTATACGGCGGATTGATGTCGCGGGTCGGGATGTGACGGAGCAGCTGCAACTACTGTTACGAAAGAATGGACATGTGCTGCATACCAGTGCGGAGAAGGAGGTCGTCCGCATGATCAAGGAGAAGGTGTGCTACGTTTCGCTGGATCCGAAGCGGGAGGAGAAGGACTGGATGAACAGCTATCACAAGTCGGAGACGAAGTCCGTCGACTATGCGCTGCCTGATGGACATAAGATCAAGGTACGTTCCCTTATGTTATGCTGGTCGGGTTGGAGTGGCTTGCTAATGGCGAATTATGACAGATCGGACAAGAACGCTACCGCGCCCCCGAGATTCTCTTCGATCCGGAACTTATTGGCTTGGAATACCCTGGTGTACATCAGATCGTGCAGGATGCCATTACCCGGACGGACCTCGATTTGCGGAAATCTCTCTACCTCAACATCGTCCTGTCTGGTGGATCAACGCTGTGCAAGAATTTCCCGGACCGGTTGATGCGCGAGATTAAGCGTCTGGCCGTGGAGGATATGAAGATCCGAATCTCTGCCCCCGCAGAACGGAAGTACACGACATGGATCGGAGGTGGTATTCTTGCTGGCTTGAGCACCTTCCGGAAGGTAGGTTTCCACCTCATCACCCTAAATCATGGACCCTTCAGCTAACTCCTTCAACAGATGTGGGTGAGCGCAGATGAATGGCACGAAGACCCCGAGATCATCCACCGGAAGTTCGCTTAAAGGTGCTTGCGTTCTCGGATGAAACCAATATCAGGGACCTGCACGATCGACGGTATCCACTTCCGCGCCTGCAGCTCGCAGACTCCGCGACAGGATACGTTTTACTGCAAAGACTGAACATGCAAGCTACTAGCTAGAAAAGACATCAATGGTGATGCTCACAATGGTCAGCAGCAGCTTTTAATAGATACCCCTCTTTTCTGTTCGCCTCGATTATTCAAGCTGCCATACCCATCTGCCACTCATACTACGCTTTCACCCCTTCAACTATTTAACTATCTGATGCGAGATACATCTTCCATGAGCGGTGTTTTGTGTCTATATCGGATGAGCTCACTAGCACATCTACCCCTTATCTTATGCTGCTTCCCTTAGCCTCTAACCATACATACCTAGCGACATGTACCCGGATTACGAGGAAAGACATGAATCTAGATGCTATTTTGCTTTTACTTCTTCTACCTTTTTCCTGTCTTACCTCATATCTCCTTATTTCTCGCTGAAATTGCGTGCCACATTCTGAAGTTTTGTGTACATATTGGATGGATAGATGAAAATATACGATGCCCAACAACCTATCTTCCTTGATCAAGTAATCTGGAGCCTGGAAGCTCCGCAATTGACATAAAAGATGCTCAAGAAAGGCCCCATTCACAAAGCCATATCTGATCGTTACCACCAATAAAAGCAATAACTTCAAGAATGGTGGAAAGTAAAGGAGAAAAGTGAAAGACAAAAATTAGTTCTTGATTGACCTACCATCACCCAAAGCATTAGGGACCTTTATTCACTAACACTGAGGCCACGCCCCCTCGCACCAAAGAGTCTTCCAACCATCATCCAAACAATTACCCCCATAGTCATCATAACACTCTTGAGTGATATATCCCAGCTCAAGAAGATCCTTTATATCATAGACTCGGGTGGTAGCCCACAAATTTACTGCCCCCGTGGGGGTATCCATCGTATCGCAATAGTCTGCCATGTCCTGGGGGCAGAATGATGCAGATCCTATCCAGGTGCATGTCCCTGAATCAATCTCGTACATGCTGTTATTGCATATTGCTTGTGCACTGGATATGGCGATGAGGGTTACTGTGAGGGGTTTCTGGGAGAGCATGGTGATTTTGAGGATGGGTTGTCGGGGGAATTGAGGAGAGGTAGAAGGTCTTTTTTTCTGGAGGTGGTCAGGAATGAAGTATGGATATGTAGTGAGGTCTGTGTTTCGAGATCTTTTAGGGGAGGGGAGATTATAGTATTAAGGGGTAATGTATGAGATAGAGATTACATTGGTAAGAGTTGAACAGATGATGGATGTGATTTCTGAGGATGATTGTCAATCCCTGCATACATACCTCGTCTTATTGGAACGGGGGCTGGGGGAATTGTTTGTTGTAGTGTATACTAAGTAGGTCATTCGGCAATATGTTACAACACAAGTAAATGTTACAAGTAGCTTCCGCAAGGATGGCTTGTCAGAATGTGTCATAGACTTACAATGTCACATCAAAGGTCCGGTCTTGGCCCTCAGGGTCTATGGCTCCTGGGTACTGGTATGTGATATGACGTACCGAAGAGGATTTCGGCTATTTGAATGAATGTCATTTGATGCTCTCTGCGCCTGTACCGTAGCTTTCCTTCTCGAATGATAGTGACACTAAAGTCTCCAAGTGCCATAGATGTCATATTTGTATGTAGAAGTAGACATTCCAGCTTCTTGTGTTTCACCAAGTCCCTAGATTGGTTCAAATTGCGCACAGGGGTATAGCGCGATATAATTGAATGCTGAGAGCGGTAACTAAATGAATAGTAAGTTATAACATGCCACATGAGCTCTGCGTCCTGTCGAATAGATCTGCTCTGGTTACCGTCTTGCCATCTCCAACGATAGAGTCACTCTTTGACCATAGTTGATTAATTGAGGACACAGGAAGTCCCCCTATGAATCGCATGGAACGGGTGTGGTCTCGAGGAATGTTGCTGTACCACGTTGTTGCCTCTCCAGTATGCATGGTTGAGTGCCTCGTAACAATATTCCGCGGAATCTCAGGCTGTCCTTAGAGCTCTTGCCGAGGGGGCTAGAAAGGACAGCTCTCTCTCTCTCTCTCTCTCTCTCTCTCTCTCTCTCTCAACCTTACAATCGCGAGGTAAGAACAACTGGTGACTTGTATTAGGAAAGAGTACAGCTGTCAACCTTTCCTGGAGCATGCAGTTTGTTTAATTGGCATCGTTGCATCGCCTAAGCTTCCAGATAAGATGAAGACGTGAGCATAACTCCTCGAACAGTGGGGA